CGAGAAAGGAAATTGGACCACCCAAACATGAACAGACACTGAGACAATTCACGTCAGCGCAGCTCTAAAGGACGTTCAAGGCCAAATTGTCGAAAGTTATGAATCATTATCACTTGTGCAGTTTTAAAGAAATTTTTTTCCCCTGGGGAGTATGAGGCTGGGGGATGACCTTATAGAGGTTTATAAAATCATGAGGGGTACAGATAGGGGGAATAGCCAAGATCTTTTCCCCAGGGTAGCAGATTCCAAAATAGGGGGCATAGGTTTTAGGTGAGAGGGGAAAGATTTAAAAAAAGGACCTGAGGGGCAACTTTTTCCACACAGAGAATGATGCATATATTGAATAAATTGCCAGACGAAGTAGTGGAGGCAGATACAATTACAACATTTAAAAGACATTTGGACAGGTGCATGGATAGGAAAGATTTAGAGGGATACGGGCCAAATGCAGGTAAATGCTATTAATCAGACATACGTCAGAAAAGGTACCAACCTGAAATCATGCCACAGGCCTTTTAGCACATCAAAAACAGATGCAGGATGCAATAGAGAGCAAAGTGACCCCACAACCAACAGGTCAAATCAGAGCACTGCAGTCCTGCCAGGCATGAACGTTGGTGGACAAATCAACAACAAACTGAGGTGCAGACTCCATAATTATTCCCACCTTCAGTGATTGCAGTGCCCAACACAATGCAAAAAACAAGGTTGAAGCATTTGCAGCCATCTTCAATCAGCAAAGCTGAGTGAACATTCCATCTTTGCCTTGTCCCAAGCGCCCAACATCATCAATACCAGTTACACTAACTTTTATTTTAAATCAGGCTTTTCTTGAAAATCATATGACTTCACAAAGTTGCTTAGACTCACTAAGGTTTTAGAGTAGATTTGTAGCTCGAGTTGTGGATGTTGTGGTTGGTTGGCTCACCAAGCTGGTTCATTGTTCCACAGACATGATGTTACCCTGCTGGGTAACATCATCAGTGCAGTCTCTAATGAAGCGCTGTTGTGTTTTCCCACCCGTTATTTAAACTCTGGTGTCCATTGAGCTGGGTTACCTCACTTCCAGTTTTCCTTTGCAATGGAGTGTATATAATGTTTGTCACAGTCTTTACAGGGAATCTTGTATATGACATTGGTCCTGTCCATCGTGGGTAGAGGGTCTTTGGTTCGGGTTAGCAGTTGGCATAGGGTTGATGTGGGTTTGTGTGCTATTCTGATGCCCAGTGGTCATAGGAGTCTTGTGGTCAGTTCAGATGTATTCTTGATGTAAGGTAGCATGATGAGTGTGTCGGGGCATGCAGTATCCTCCTGGTGTTGTTCGTTACTAAGCGTCTTCTGACCCAGTTTTTCGGGTATCTGTTGTCTTTGAATACTTGGAAGAGGTACTCTTCTTCTTTTTGGCTTAGTTCTGTGTTGCTGCAGTGTGTTGTTGCCCATTTAAATAAGTGTTCTCACGGCCCTTCCGCTAATCCAACTGAAACTATGGATACAATACTTGGATGACACCTTCGTCATTATTAAACAGACCAAACTAGAGGAGACACAAACTAATAAAAAACACCCTCACTGGGATCAGATTCACCAGGGAAGAAAAGAACTAACCTCCCATTCCTGGATGTCATGGTGGAACGCAAGACCAATGGGGAATTCCTAACAAAGGCACACAGGAAAGCCACACACACTGACCAAGTATTGAATTTCTATAGCAGCCACCCCAACATACACAAAGTTGCATGAACACTATTTAAACGGGCAACAACACACTGCAGCAACACAGAACTACGCCAAAAAAAGAGTCCCTCTTCCAAGTATTCAAAGACAACAGATACCCGAAAAACTGGGTCAGAAGATGCCTATTACACGAACACCACCAGGAAGATACTGCACGACCTGACACACTCATCACGCTACTTTACATCAAGAACACATCTGAACTGACCACAAGACTCCTATGACCACTGGGCATCGGAATAGCACACAAATCCACATCAACCCTATGCCAACTGTTAACCTGAACCAAAGACCCGCTACCCACTATGGATAAGGCCAACGTCATATACAAGATTCCTTATAAAGACTGCGACAAACATTACATTGGACAAACAAGAAGGAAATTAACCACAAGAGTACACGAACATCAACTGGCAACAAAAAGACATGACCAATTCTCACTCATCTCCATTCACATATGGAAGGAAAACCACCAGTTCGATTGGAACAACACCAGGACCCTGGGACAGGCAAAGCAGAGACAAGCACAGGAATTCCTAGAAGCCTGGTTCTCCACTAAAAAAAGCCATCAATAAACATAGAGCTAGACCACATATACACTCCATTGCGAAGGAAAATCGGAAGTGAGGTAACCCAGCTCAACGGACACCAGAGTTTAAATACCAGGCGGGAAAACACAACAGCGTTTCATCGGAGGCTGTACTGATGTTACCCAGCAGGGTAATGAAACATCTGCGGAACAATGAACCAGCTCGGCAAGCCAACCAACCACGACTTGCTTAGACTCACTTTGGGAAAGCACATGACTGTTTATAACTGGAATTTAGGCAGAAGGGTGACATTCAAGACCCACCTACTTCAAAGACTGTTCATAACATGTCTGAACAGTTTGATTAGCAATAAAAAAGGGGGGATTTATAGTGATCTTGTTTTGATATTCTTTAGGATCTGAGTTTGGGAAAAACACACTTGTGGAAAGGCTATCCATCTTGACTCAGAAAAGCTGACAGACAAGCTGTGCATGTCTCATTATCTGCTTGAACAGCATCTGGAAGACTTGTCAATACTGTGCTTCCTGAGCAAGTTGCATCTACCAAGGCTCCAGAGACAACTGTACATGGTTAGTGATCAGTATGTGCCAGCACATAGAAATGTGTTTATTATTGGTCGGAGTTTTTGTGTGCGTGCGTGTATATACACATATCACACATTTTTGAGTGATTTAAAGACGTTAAATACTTTTCAAAATTACAAATTGCGTTAACCAATTTGCTGAATACATGATTTGCATTAAATAAAATATAATAAGTTGCCAACCAAATTTAAGTGTAATCCGAAGATGATTGACCACATAGTAAACGCAAAACATCAAGTTAATGCATGCTGTGATTCTTGGAGCAAACAGACTGGATAAATAAAATGTACTCCTCCCAACTCCGTCTTAAAAGGAATATTTTAAAGAATAGCTGTTTATCTTGGCAAAGCAATAATTTTTCTGTCCCACCACTTAGGATCCAAGAGAACGCACTTCGGTCATGTTTCAGATTTTGGTCTATTTAACCTGGATAGTCAGGGATCCAGAAACCAAACCAAAGAAACAGCCCAGAAATTCCAGTCTGGGTCGGAAATCTTGTTTATCCAAGACAAATGAGATTTTTTTTAAAAAAAAAAAATCACACTTATCTTTTCAGGAGCTCTGCCCTTTAATTTCCTGGACAGAGGTCCCCTGTTATGAAACAGCAGAGGTCAATCTAGGAGACTGCTACTGATGGGGGTGTGTTAACAGCACTGTGGGTGGGTTAGAGTGCCATATTGATGAGGAGAATAGGGAGCCAATTAAGTGGATGAGTGCTTACAATAGGACAGATGTTTGAGTTCAGCCAAAAGTTACAGGACGAGGGGTGTTGAGAGTTCAGCTGAATAGTTACCCAGGAGTTACAGCAGATTTTAATCTTCAAACTTTTCCTGAGCAATGATAAACTTAACTGATTTAGAACTCTCTAAAATCTGACTCAACGGGACCTTTGTAGAAGATTCCAGGCACAGGTTATTTGCCCCAAAGTGCCTTTCAATTTTTCAGACAATTCCCATGGAGTCAGCTGCACCAATATTTCAGCACAGCCCCAGTGCAATCCAATCTATCCTGCAGAGATTACACTCTGGCCATAAGAATTTCTATGCCGATGGATCAAAGCCTAACTACTTCAAAAATAACGCTCATGTCACCACACCTTATCTCCCTTCTATGGAAACCCTCACCTTCACTTCCATCCTTTCAGATTGAGTTTCGATACTCTACTTGCCAGTTGTACAAGTACTACCATTCATAATGAACATGTCTACACATCAGATATAAAATTCTGAACACTGCTCAAAATAGGTACATGTTGCCAAATGTTTCATGCTGTACTTACCAGAACAAACCCAAGTTTCAAACAATCACAGCTACTTAAACTACAGAAGAAAAGAATGCTAATGGTTTGCTATGTTGACTCTGAGGCTAAGCAGTCACCACAGGGAAAATAATGGCTTCTCAAGCTGCATGGTAATTCAATAATTGTACAAGGTTTAAACATATTCCCTTTTCTTTTAATATCAGGTCTGTGTATGAATGTTCGTCACAAGCATAAACGAGCCATGTTATAAGTTTGACTGTTTCCCTTAAATTGATTGTTAGTGTGGCTATAGCCAAACTTGGGATTATTCACCAAGTGCTGCCCAATCACAGAACGATATTTAACAGCAAAACTTTTGTTCCAGAGTGTGCAAGCATGAGCTGATAGAGCACAAACTGTACTCACTCAATCACTTATTGACAACCAAAGGAACAAGTCTTTTAACCTGATCAGCCAAATGCTGGGACATATTACTAAGTATGTGTTCTCGCAATCACACAAATTCTAACACAATATTGCTCAAATTTTGGGAAAGCAGAACATTTATATAGTGACTGATAGCAGCATCATTTGTATACTGTGTAAAAGTAACAGTGAGCACCAATGGTACTCCATTCCCACTGCATGCTTTCAACTGGAAATCTTTGCAAGGGTTTGTGCCACCTACAGATTCATGTTCTTCAAAGTCTGTAATACTTTATGCCCTCATCACAGTTCTCCACAATATCATTATGCGAGATCTCTTGAGTTATGTTCTTTTACATATTCTTCTAATGATCAAGTGCTTAAAAAAATTCTGGAAAGTTGATTATACAAGCTAGCTTTGAAAAGTACTTTTGTAATAAAATGGATACTAAAATAATATCTTACCATATGTGTTGTGGAAGGTTTAACGTGATACTGCCCTGAACGCTATCACCAAAGTGTAGATACCCAAGAGTAGCCAATGAAACATATAAAGCTGTGACGATGCCCATTCCAATGTTTAGTGCTCGTGGAAAACGTTTTCTTTGCTTCATTTTATTTTCCAAAGGAAGAACCTGAGAGAATGCAAGATTAAAAAGAATCAATTGAACCAAATAGCTGGAACTATTAACAAAAAGAAAACATGTACAATTGTTAAAAATCTATAACAAATTGTAAAATGCTGTTTAAAAAAAAAGGTTTTGTGACGGGTTTCAAAAAAAATTGCTGTAACCACTCAGCACTTATAGACAAATCACACAAGATTAATCTGTTACACTACATTAACTATACTCGGCACTCTACATAAGAGAGACCAAAAACAAATCAGGTGTATGTATTGCCAAATATCTCCACACTGATTGCAAGCATGGCTCATCGCTTAGTTAAAGCAAACCTCAAATGAACCTCACGTTGTTAGGTACTCTGCAACATTTAGACTGCCACTAATAAACTTTATATCTCAACTAATCTTAACAAGAATCAATCATGTAAGGTGTCAGTATTTCCTTCAAGGCACTTGGGCCTGGGTCCCCCTGTTCAAATACAATAAGGGGTGAAGGTCTTTACACTTTGCGAAAGCCCATTTTTTCTTCTGATATTACTGAAGCACACTTTACTTCACCAGTTTTCATGTTTCGAATTCTACCTGCTTCATTTATTACTTTTCCAGCTATACACACGTCTCTTGTATGCAACTTAAATCTGCCTTCTTGTTCCCTTGTTGTGCCACTTGTGTCATTTAACCCATCTTCCAGTTTGCACTCGCATTTACACCCACGTAAACTGGGTATAATGTGTCTAAAAGCAAAATACTGCAGATGCTGGAAATCTGAACAAACAGAATTGTTTCGTCGGAGGTTGCACTGAGGATATTACCCAGCATGGTAACGAAACATCTGCGGAATAACAAACCAACTCGGCGAGCCAACCAACCTCAAAACATAGTATCAGAGATAGTAGGAACTGCAGATGCTGGAGAATCTGAGATAACAAGGTGTAGAGCTGGATGAACACAGCAGGCCAAGCAGCATCAGAGGAGCAGGAAAGCTGACGTTTTGGGCCTAGACCCTTCTTCAGAAATGAAGGAGGGGAAGGGGGTTCTGAAATAAATAGGGAGAGAGGGGGAGGCGGATAGAAGATGGATAGAGGAGAAGATAGGAGAGGAAACAGACAGGTCAAAAGGGGCAGGGATGGAACCAGAAAAGGTGAGTGCAGATGGGGAGGTAGGCAGGGGATAGGTCAGTCCAGGGAGGACGGACAGGTCAAGGGGGCGGGATGAGTTTAGTAGATAGGAAATGGAGGTGCAGCTTGAGGTGGGAGGAGGGGACACGTGGGAGGAAGAACAGGTTAGGGAGGCGGGGACGAGCTGGGCTGGTTTTGGGATGTGGTAGGGGGAGGGGAGATTTTGAAGCTTGTGAAATCCACATTGATAC